ACAGAGTAAAATATGATCCACGGTGCATCCAAATAGAAAATTAGGACAAAAAGGAAAAAAAATCTACTGGGTCTTTTTTTTTGTTTCTTGGGTTGTCTTTACGTATCGTGACGAAAAAAATGGGAAACAAAGAAAATATTATCAACCATCTAAAGTCAAACCCATCATAGATTATTTAATATTCAACTAGACCTTGACCCGCCCGACCGGACGGGTATTTATTTTATGTTTTTGTTTATATTAAATGATATATTTATAATATTTAAACATAAAGTTTATTGAAAATTAATCTTTACAGTTATAATAATTCAAATTAAAAATTTAATAAAATATTCTGATATTAATTTTATCTTAATTACAATAATATAGAGGTGGGTCATAATTTTTTCCAATTCCAAAATCTTATCATCCCTTAAAGAAAAAAATAAAATAAAATTATAACTACTTAAATATATAAACATAAGTAGAACTATAAATTCTATAATATCTTAAAGAAAAATAACATATTATCTCTTACTAATAAATATCAAAATATTTAATATGTTAATACCAAATATATTAGGATATTTATTTTGGTTAATATTTGACTAAGGAAACCTATTATTTAAACTATGAAAATATATTAAATACTTAAATCTATTATTTAAATTAGGAAAAGACAAACATGCTTAAATATAGGTTCAATAAATATCTCAATGGCATTCTATTGTAAATAACTAATAAAATTAAGGGTTTTTTTTTATTGGTACTTCTCTTTTAATAATATAGAAGCAAAGGTAAAATATATAAAGGTTGCATTTACAAACGAGAACGATAAAGGAAAAAGAACGGAAGATTTTAATGGGAAACAAATCTATTAGCAGTTCTTTAAAATCATAGAGAAAGCAGTTGATAGCGGCTGATTCAGAAGTTACTCATCCTCTTACAGGGAAAGCACACATCGAAGATGACATACAAATAAATCCTTTATTGCCTCTTGTTCAGACGTAAATATTCAGTTTTTAGGAAGAGATCATGATAATGATGATAATCAGCCTGGCCCAAAGCATGTGCTGGAAGTGCATTTGCACAGGGTCCGTTACATTTAAAAAAAAAAATTAAGTCCGGATGAGAGCCCATTTTGATTTAATTTTTTTTTTTGTAAAAGAAAAAAGATCTCCAATTTTCTTACTTTTTGTAGTAAAGGGTTCAAAATAATTTAGTTCCGAACCCAACTTACTCTTCAGACGGGTCTGATGATAATGATGGTGAGTGGCTCAAAGTACTGTAAAATGATGGTTATGATATTTTTTATCTTGGTTATAAAGGCATATACATCGTGTCTCAAACATATCACTTACTATCTCTGAAGGAAGTCCTTTTCTAAGATGTATTATCCTACCATCAAAACAACATCAAATTATCAAGTTAAAAACGCTCAAAAATCTGCAAAATAACTGCATTGTTTTGTGAAAATGGTTGAGTTGCATGTTTCAGTGGAAGTTTATATCTAAACTAAAGATGGATATAGGGATAATTGTCATGTGCAAACTTGTGGCTTGATGAGATATTGATTCCTATCCAACTATCTGAAAACGGGGCATGATTCACAATGTTGCACAAAAGATCAACAAGAATGAGCTGAAGCTTTACCCTGTCACCATAGAGAGGTAGAGTCTTGATCTCCTGGGAGACTTCAACCCTGAGTTGTGACATACTCTCTCAACATAATCATCACTTGGCTAATAATTGTGTCTAAGACGCACTCACGTTGAAACTCTTTCCGTCTCCAGAACTTGCTGACAAAACCCAATACATTTTTTCAAATTCAAAATATAAAACAACAACAGTAGATCAAGAAGATCCAGTATGTTATGTTTTTACGTTTCTAAATACTCTTCAAGTCAGTGTCTTCGATTATTGTTTGTAAACTCCTAACCAAACACAGTGAATTTAGAGTTTGAAGAAATATGAATTCCTAAAAACTGTTTACAAATTCGATTTAAGAGAGAAGTAACATACGTTTTGCTTCCTCCTGTGTACAGGCTGAAGTTTCCTTCTTTGCTCGTTTTGAATTTATCTCCTTTAATGTCTTCACAGCTTTGATTTCGATTTTCCGCCTGCTAATCTAGATGAGCAGGCGGCGAAGATTCATCATCTTCTTTTCTGCGATTGGATCTTCCAAAGGCTTACATTTTTTTTGTCATCAGATATTTCAAAGTGTGAATACGGATTCCTTCGCGATGGTTCTGACGTAAATGCAAACGGAAAGCTACGGGATTCGAACCCATACACTTAGGTACAAATTTTAATTTGGTGGCTTAGACCACTCGGACAAGTCTTCATTCATTGTTAACAGTTAGCGTGGCAAAGTGTTATACAATTTTTTTTAAAAAGCGCAGACCCTACTAAATGCTGACATGACGAAGAATCTAGAAACTGTACTATTACAATATGGATTTTACATCTTTTTAAACATTCAACTATTTAAATTAAATAAATATTAACATTTTCAAGTTTATTAAAAATAAAGAAAATATGATTACGTTTATCACTAAACCAACAAAATTACTTTATGACCAGCAAAATCACGCTAACTCTGGTTTCTGTAGCCCTGGAGGGTTTGGTAATGAAGACAGCCAAAGATAGTGTAGGTAGTCTTTTTTTTGTCAGCCAATAAATACCACCGGTCTGGTAAACCAATACAGGAGCGCATAGCTTGCCATCCTTGATCCTTGTCAGTTGTCACTCTTAATAAGATCATGAAAGATATATTAAAACATGTAATTATCGTTGGAATATCAGTATCCAAATATTAATTATTCAGAATATAATGAAAAAACATTAGCTAAATCGTAACAGCTAATTATTGAAACTAATAAATAAATTTAAAATCATGGATAATACGATAAATAAACTAATTGACTTCTTAAATAAATATATATATTAAAACTAATGAATAAATCTATAAACATTGAGAACATTGAGAATAGGTAGATACCACTGGTTTGATTTGGTAAACCAATAAAAGTCACCGGCTAAAATGTACAGCTTATCTTTAAATCTTTACTGATTTAAGTAGATGACTTTACTTCTATAAACATGCTTCATGAGAGTTATTATAGATGTGACCAAATTTCATTTTGTAATAATTTACTTCAATCCAATCTATTTTGAATTTCAAATGAAATAATGACTTATATCCATTACTCTATTTTGGAGTTGATTTTTTTTTTTTATGAAATGATCGTTTAAATGTTTTATTTCATACGGAAATAGTATTTTAAAAGATATAATAACATGAAAAGAAATATAATATTCCATCTAAAATCATTTAATAATTTTACATAAAAGATACATAAACTAATAAAAATAAACAAACTAAACACAAATAATATAAAATAATATAACATAAAATAAGTGATTTAGTAATCCAATAAATCATTACAAAAACTGTTAAGATCAGTGAAATATAACTCAAACGAAGTAGATTGAGAATGAGCTTGTTGATCTTCTGGTTCAATATGTAATATGGAATTCAAATTACAAAACAATTTTTGTTTCTCTTTTTATTTTTAGTGCATAATTTTGTTTTTAAGTCTCTAAATGTTGTGTTCTTTCTGCATTTGTCCTTTTAACTGTTCCAAGAGTTTCTATAAACTTTCCAAGTTATTAATTATATGTGCTCAAATAAAACATGTTTTTATGGAAGTTTTGTTATTATAAAATAGTTGGGTTCATATGTAAATATTATAAGCAAAAAGTATTATTAGCTAAATAAAGTAGAATCATTTTAAAATATGTATTTTTGAAATAAAAATATAGTATGCATTGAAGTTAAACATAATTCCATTTTGGAGTTGCACCATTTTAGAGTAAATAAGAACATCTCCATTGTAAAATTCTATTTTTTCTTATAAAATAGAGTAAAAAGGAATATGAAGTATAAAAAGGTTGAATCCTACTCATAAAAATAGTATTTAGAAGTAAAATTACTCTAACTCATCTCTATTTTTACCTCTAAATAGAGATTGCTATTTTCTCCTCTATTTATAGAAGAAGAAATATAAGTCCTTTATATTTTACTCTATTTTTTAAGATCTCTATTTTAAAGAAATATGTTGTAGCAAAACTCATCTCTATTATAAAAATTTCCTATTTTAGAGGTAAAAATAAGGAAACACATAGGAGATGGTATTAGAGAAGTTCTGGGGTTTTCTTGTCCTCAACTGGTTTTGGTTTAGACCGGTCTTGGACCAATTAGAGATGTTCTTAGGCTTTCTTGTCCTCAAATGGTTTTGGTTTAGACAGGTTTTTGGCCAATAAGAAAAGTGCTCGTTTGATCAGTTCACAAATTTCCATGTACCAGGAAGAAAACTCATGATTTGATTAAATTAACAAATCAACTAATAAATTAAGTTACTCATTTGAATTCAAATCAGAAAATAAAAATGAGAGCAACCTTAGTGAGAAGTCTCTTTTTTTTTATATATATATAGTAAGGGTATCTCAAAAACATAAGAACACCCTTGCAGAGTATCTGATTTGTAATCAAATGATTTGTGAGAGAAAGTTCTTTTTGTGAGAACTCTTAGTTGGAGTTGGGGAAATGTGACAAACATAAATGATAGATAAATAAAAAAAATGCTTTTATTCTTTCTTAATATATGCCTCCAATCCCAATAGGAGAACATAGAAACCCCTCCGGAGGGTTTATCTGTTCTGTCTGAAAAAGAAAAAGAAAAAAAAAAAAGAGAAAGAACTGGAAAAGGATTTGGTCTTTTGTTTTGGTCTACTGGATGATAAAGAACAAAAAGAAAATGATGATGAGATGCAAAACTGGAGATGGCAGAGATTGGTATCTCTGAGACATGAATGAGTAAATGAGAGTCGACCAGACTCACCTAGATAAGCCTCTCTACTTTTTCTTTAAGATAAATAGGCTTACACGCAGCCAAAATGGATATAGAATGAGAGCTGCATTGATTGGCTTTTTTTCAAGGACTGAGCCCAAGAAGAAATCAAGAAGCAACTGTTGTGGAAGATTTCTTATCAAGTTGCTCCTTTAGAATCTCTGCTCTTCTCTGCTCCGTGTGCTGAGCGATATTGTTAGCGAGTCCTTGGTAGTGCGGGTCTAGTGTCTGCGTCAGGCTTTGAAACCTGATCGATTCCGATGCTTGCATTGCTATAACAAATTATAAAAGGAAATCAGAAGATAATACCAGGTATTATAATTATCAATATATACATGACAAATCTCTTGTACCTGTGACTGCATCCATGAAGAGTATGAACGGATCCACTTCATCAATTGTTGTGTCTAATTCCTCGTCGTCGCTTCATCGTCCGAGAAGTCATCATCGTCGCTGTAAGAGATGAAGTCCTTTGCCTAAAGATAATGCAGCAAAGGAAGCAACATCAGCAGTGAGCTACTATACTTACAAGCACATTGATATTTTTTTCAAGAAAAATCACTTGAAGAGGCTTTAGTTTTACGGGGTTAAGAAGATAAACCTATGTTGCTAATTTGTGGAGTGTACTTCCATCAGTTTCATCAGGATTCTCTTCATCTCCCTCATCATCTTCATCATCCATCTGAAAATCATCCATGATGTCGTCATCTTCATCTTCTTCCTCTTCTGCCTTTGCAGTTTCTGTTACAGAGAAATTATCAATGAAGCTTTGTTATTAGGAAAATTAGGGACGGTGAAAAACGCACTACTGACCAGCAAGCTGATCCTTGTATGCAACTAATAGCTCGAGAAGAGCCCTGAATACAGGTGGCAAGACTTCCCCAGGCAATTGACCAGCAGGAAGACAGAGAAGTGATGTCAAACCCAAGATGCAAACTTTCTTACCATGTTCTCTGCATATGAATCAAGGAAGATTGTTTATCTTGAAAGAAATGCGAGGAGAAGATAGAGAGATAAGATATTAAGCAGATTAGATTCACCCACCGCTTGAAGTTAGCAAGCACACCACTCTTCTTCTTTCTTGCAGCATGCGCAGCCATATAGTCTGTTGCGAAACCGAAGCGTTGCAGTATGCCAAGTGCCAAAGAGGCATTGTAGTAAAAGGAATTTGCAATCTGCCCAAAAGGTACATTCAGCGGTTATTGACAATCAAAAAAATAATACAATATAGCTTAACTCTGTGAGAGGTATCTAAGCATAGGCAGCAAAACTCTATGAAGTACAATTTAACTGAGGCTGTTTTTCGTACCACTTCAATCAGAAGACATTTGAAGGATAATTTCTCAGCACCTCGTAGCCGATCTAATGCGATTCTCAGGTAAGGCTCCACCCATTGATCCACTTGGCCCTTACAAGTCTGAAGCACAATCCCTTTTAGCTTCGGAGCCGGCACAAGGTCACTCTCATCAATATTTTTGTTCGCCATAAACTGTCATGAGAAAGAATTAGCAAATTAATCAATGATTATATGTTTATGTCCATCAATTTATTTATGTGTAAATGTATAGTGAGCTTACCAAAGAGACCACACTCCAAAGACTTTGCTGGTAATCTGGTTCCTTGCAAGTGAGATAACGCTCAGTCCCTCTGGTTATGTAATTGTGCAGAGGTACCAATATATCTAATGAAATTCAGAAGAACGATCAAACAAAAAGGCCAAAAATAAGAGCAATGAATGGAACTTCACAAAGAAGAAACGGCAGAGAAAAAACACAGCAAACTTCATACTTGGGAAGAAGTCAATGGCCCAATCCTTGAGTGCTTCCATCATTAAAGGCCATAAACTCCACATTTCCAATGATATCGTAGGTGAAAAGGTAGTAATATATGAGACGATCTCAAGAACCTCTTCAAATACATCTGGCCATTAGACAAATATGGATGAATCACCATGTTTAGATCAAGAGCTACAAATTACATAAACCCCAACGCATCCAATATACGCATTCAAAGGAACCCATGAAATAAGTAACTATTATATATGGGGTCTCTAAAACATTATGAATACCTTGACCATCGGTTGTCAGCCTTTTACGCATTATTGGCAGCAACTGTGGTTCAATCTGACCATAGAGATGAGGGAGACTACTGATAGATTCAAGAATTGTACTGATGGCACAGAGACATCCCACTGCAGCCAATGCACCAGAATCATCGGTTTCATCATCACCGTTGTCACTGTCGATACACCTCCAGAATGCACTGGCCTGAAATTTATTCACCGGAATAGTGTTAATAGTGCTAATAGAAAAATAATACTCAAAATGGGGACACAACAAAAAATGTTATCTTACTAAGTTCTGGCACAAACCCAGAGCATACGGAGATATCTCCTCTCCAAAATTATACACGATAGTTTCTAGCGTAAAAGCAAGATCTTCGTTTTCAACTTCATTCATTAGCTTGAAAAACTCTGCACAGCACAAGTCCATACCGATTATTTCAGTTGTTTAATATAATGTAACGTTTTAGCTTCTAAATGAATTGAAATGGGAGCATGTATACTATAAGTAAAATCATTGGAAAAGTGTACCGTCAAGAAGTTGAGGCAGAAGTGGGTGAATTTCATCTAAATCTGCAGGACATATAATTTTTGATCAGTTAATCAAAAGGTCCGAGGATGGTGAAGGGCTGTGAAATATTAAGAAGAGTGTCAATACTTACTTTTGCAGGCTTCAATGAATGAACGCAAAGCAAAAACTGAGTCCACCCATACAGGAAGTTCTGGATCACGCATTCCAGAGATAACACAATGCAGTGCCTTGGAAAAGTTGGTTTGGTCTGAGAAACTAATGTTGGCGTACTGCCCTGTAACCCATGCAGCCTACACAAAAGATGGAATATGTTGAGAAGTAAGCTTGAGGAGTTACGGCATCCATGTGATGCAAGCACTATGGGTGTGTTGCAACATCATTTAAAAACACAGGTTGATTTGTCACAGCAAACAAGATAAGCGTGAACAGAAACTTCAGGCACAAAATCATCTAAGAAGGCAGAGAATATACCCTAATAGTCATCTACCAAGAAAATTCATAGGATAGTAATGAACAAAGACTTCAGTCATGATGTACTATAGAGAAATTCAAGCACTTGAAGACAGAGACAATTCAAATATCAGACAACTAATTGATCAGGAATGGTATATGTTAGCAAGCAAATGCATAGAGAGGTTGATAAAAAGAGGTATAATTTGCATAACAGAAACGAATGAGAAGGGGACCTAAACAACTAAAAGTAGTCACTTAAACCTTGGCTCTAAGATGACCAGCTGGGCTGCTGAATTCAGGAAAAACATGCCGCACTAAAATACTCTCCAGCTCAGATTTGTAGAGTTCAGTTTGCCTCAGTTTATCACAAAGTGTCCCAACAGCAAGCAGAGCACCATCCTTTTGGCGATAGGGCTTTTAATCTAGAGGTGCTTCATCGTATCTAAAGTAACAAAGTAATTATATCACGTCGCAATTATATAATTAAACCCTTCGCAAAACTTGTTGATAAAATTGAAGGTACCTCGTAAAAGTGCCCACGATGAACTGTATAAATTTTGGGAAGTTGTCTTTTCCACGCTTTCTAACTAACTCAGTCACAAAGTCCATTTATGCAGTCCTGGGACTGTACAGATCTTCAATTATATCTGTAGAGCAAGTAAGGATAATTATAGAAAAATGAATGAATAGAATTATCCAAACAAGACGACATGAACATACCATAACCCTTCCTCACATACTCATGCGGGTCTTCTTCCCAAAGAATTTGATCATTATCATTGAAGCACATTAGAGGGAATATTACTTCAAATAGTAGAACATCAAGGTGGGGCTGCAGTAAGTTGTACATGTTGTTCTTCGGGATATTGCAGAGACACAACAAGTCATTATGAAATCTTACCTCACACATGACAAAGGAATCCAGATAAATAATTTATCAGTTTTCAAGGAGACAATAGAAACTGCAAGTCTGCAACTAGAAATTCTACCCACAATTACGAATGACAAAATTCTTAGGTAACATTTCTTCGTATTTCTAAATATGCCTATGATAACGGTTGTGAGAAAAAGGTATGAAATACCAAGACCAAAGATGCCTCAAACAAGAAAACAATTTTATCCACTAAAAACTCTTCAATAAAGACAAAATATCCTTTCCTAGGGACTTCATGTGCAATCAACTAATTCAATAGATCCAGAGTACCCATATCTAAGTAGATTTCTAAAGATGATCACAAGTATGTATGACATAGAGAAAATCCGACATGTTGCTTAAATATTGAAGAATTAGGTTGATGACTCTGTCAGGAAGATATTCACCAATACGAATTGCATTCAACAATTGCAAGTGGCACTCCAATATCTTAGCTGCGTAGTTCATCTGAAACATTTGGGCGAAGGCTTTGTTTTCTAGATTCTGAAGTTTCAGATCTCCAAACCTATTACAGGTTTTTAAAACAGTTTATTTGAAGGAAAATGAAAAAGTGGTTGTAAGTTAGTAGATAGGTTTTCACGATCCTGCATACCGAGTGTACAGCCTGTTTAAAATGTGAGCAACCCACTTCTTGGTCTTCCCCATGATTTTCTGAGCTCGGAGTCTTCAGGCTGGCCTTCTAAGGGAACAGGACGTTCCAAAATGTTTAGGAACAGAACCATCCAACCATTAAAAAATGTTGGATCAAACAAGGGTCTTGGAAGCTTTAGCTGCATAAAACAAGGATAAAAAGATATATTAAAAAAACTTCAACACATATCACCTACTGTCCATAACTCAACAAAAGAATTTTGTATTCCATTAATGTGTAAATTTGAAGCCAGGAAGCAGTGAAGAACAATTCAGACTTAGTACCACAAGAAGTAGAACTTACATAAATACATGACCAGAATATCTTGCATATAAGCTTGATGTGGTCTGCCACTTCAAGAGAAGGATTTTCGATATGGATAAGCTTATTAAATATATTCAAAAGATGTGGAAATGTCTCCTCGATTACTCGGTAAATGAGTGCTCTGTCTTCATCTGATTTAAACCTATAAACAGAAAGTGCGAAAAGGAGAGGTAAAAATTAAGAAAGAAACTATTTTTATCTAGCAACCTATAAACAGAAAGTGATTTTGACTATGAATGCTGATACTCTAAATTCTTCGTGGTAGACAATAGAAACCCCACAAAAATAAGTCACCCTAACGAACATAAACGTGGATTTCTGTTCTACTAGTCAATCTACTACAGATAATGACGTCATGCTTTCTAAATTCAAGAACGGGAATTTGAAAACATAAGCAAGAGACGGCTAAACATTTGAGCAGACTAGATACAATCTACAAATCACTCGTGCAAAGACGCCATGTTGACACCAGAGCAGGTAAAAAGCACCAATTAGTAAAAATCTCAGATAAGGTGATAAAAAAGGTATAATATTGGTTTAAGATAGCGCATGGCGAGGTGAGGCGATGAGTGTCTCGCCAAGCACTATTTAAAACGAATAATTTCTAAGCACATGGTAATTTCGGGACAGCCATATTTCACAACATAAGTAAAATGTAATAAAGCAAACTAACTCGTATTTTGAAGATATAATCCGCAAGACAAACAAGGCTCCATAAACTTGCTGATCTTGCAAGTTGTGCTTGACCCAGTCCAGGAGATGAGGCCATTGCTCAGGGTAGTCAGCGTAAATGATTGTCTTCAAGCACTCCCCCATTTGAACTCTACATTTTACACACCAATAACAAGCTAGAATAAAGACCCACAAAACAGAGGTAAACTTGAACACAAAAGTTGACTGAAAAAAAGGTGTCTTAACGAGGTCTTGCAAGGAGCACAATAACTACTACCTTAAAATAGGTGGAAGTTGAGAGACATAGACAAGAATCTGGTCCGTGAAAACATTCTTATCACTTGGCAAGATTTTGGTCTGATCACCTGCATAAACAAAAAAAAAACAAAGAATGAAAAATGGATTAAAAGTTTCAATTTTTTTCAAGAAAATAACATTTAATTTACTCAAACAAAGGATAAAATTACCAGAATGAGGATCCAATGCTTAGCAATGAAATTCTTGAAATGGATACAAGAAGCTTGGCGTACAGCAGGGTCACAACCACCATCAACAACAATTTGCAAAACCCTAATCAAATGCTGCGGAGTATGCTTAATCTGCAAAAAAAAAAAACCCGATAAATTAATTTCCAAGCAAAATTAAACAATTAAAGCCTATGTATAATTGATGCTTGTTGACCACAGTCTAAATTAAAGTCAATTATAACCTGATCAAGGCTCTGCTCAGCGGCTTTACGATCGTTTGGATTGGGACTGCAAGCAGCCACAGCTATGATTACCGCAAGTCTCAACGGATCCATCGGAAAATTTCGTATAAAGATTCTCCGAGAAAATCGGCGAATTTTGAGGTCGTATGGTCGTCTTCTCCGGTGGAAATCGAAGAGACGAGAGTCAAAATCAAAGAGGAAGACGAGAGGGAGAGAGAGGTCTAGGGTTTTATGATTGGTTCGTTGGTCTGGTCTGGTGTAAAGGTAAGATTTTCTCGCACGCGCGTTGTAATTAGTGAAAAAAATTCCCAAGTGAGACACGATCCACCTTTCAACCCAGACCCTAGTCTCCTCTTTTCTTCACAACCTACTAGTTTAGTTTACTTACGGTCAAGTGATGGACTCTTTAGTTATTTATTTATTGTCTTAAAAAATTTAAATAGAATAAATTAATTGAGATTTGATTTATCTTTTTTGTATTTATCTAATTTATCATCTTATTTATGTTTCAAAATTATATTTAAAATAGCGGGTATTCTAATAATGCGTCATTTTCATGCATAAATATGTAGAATATAAATTTAATAATTTGATATTGTCAATAAATAATGAAAATTTTCCTTTTTTCAATGAAAAATTTCCTTAGATAGTCATTTGTTAGTTTATTTTCATAAAAATCGTCTAAAAAATTATCAGAATATTTTTTTCTTGAAATGTAAATATACATTTATGTCATAGTCTAATTAATCTAGATTTATGGTTTAGATTGGATATTCTTTTTATTAGATTGGACGACTGTACACACATACATACATCATACTATTAATGCACTTTATTTGTATTCTAGATATCGTTATCGTGTGGAGATGACTATTGCTGATGATACTGCTGAAAATCAGTTGTTTTGAAGAGAAGATGCCGAAATTACATCTCATCCGAGTCTATGAAGCTGGACATCTATTGGTATGTAACTACCGTACACCATATCCTATTCCACCATTTTGCTCAGCTTATGTTTAATATACTTGCAACTATAAAATTAGTCTCGAGGCTGGTGAGGGAGAGAACCCTAGAGGATAGCAAGCCTCCGCCTTTTATTGCATACATGGTTGGCAAGACCTATACATTGCAGGTCAGGGTGAACACCTATAATTTCACTGCCAATCATCAAACTTAGACTAACATTTGTGACAATTTAGGTGTATATACAATGAACATTGGCGTGAAGCAGAAAGTAACAGTGGTTGGTAATGTAGAGCCGTGGCTTTTGATCAAGAAGATCATGTTAGCAAGTAGACACGCCGAGGTATGCCCGTTGACAATGGATAACACCAAAAAGGATCATAATTACCAGAGAGTAAGACAAATATCATATGAGTTTAGATGAGAATCATTCTTTTGCATCTCCATACTTAATAGTTCATTCTATTAANGTAGAGCCGTGGCTTTTGATCAAGAAGATCATGTTAGCAAGTAGACACGCCGAGGTATGCCCGTTGACAATGGATAACACCAAAAAGGATCATAATTACCAGAGAGTAAGACAAATATCATATGAGTTTAGATGAGAATCATTCTTTTGCATCTCCATACTTAATAGTTCATTCTATTAAATACTACTTATTTTCCTTTTTTTTTTTTGAACACCAAATACTTATATTAAGAGAAGTTTCACAAGGAAGTTAACTTGTGGGAAGGGCAACATTACAAAGCACTGACTTAGCTAGTAAGTCAGCCTCAGAATTTTGAGAACGAGAAACAAAGGAAAATGAACAACATTCAAAAGAGGAGGATATGATATCGATGTCCCGGGCTAATCCGTAGAGTTCGACCGGTGTTGACTTCGAGATGAGTGCTTTAATGAGCACTTGACAGTCTGAGAAAATGCAGACTTTGATGAACCCCAGGGAAAGGGCGTGAGAGAGAGCCAACTTGACAGCTAAGGCTTCTCCAATAAGAGCTGAAGGAATATGGTCGAAACACTTTGAGCCGTGTTGAGTTATCTGCAGAACCGAGTCTTGGAAGATCCATCCGCAGCCAGTAGCACCATCCGAAGCTCGCCAAGCTGCATCAGTGAACACATTAACCCCTTGCCCGACTGAAGACTGGATAGGAACAGAGGTTAATGATGAGGTTATTCGCGGGCAAGTTGCAGTTTGAACCGAATTCCATTCCCGTGCCCTTATGATGGCAGTATTCAAAACTTCCGCAGGTGAGAGTATTTGTTTCTCAAATATCAGTTTATTTCTAGCTGTCCATAAACACCAACAAACCCAAGGGAACACCGTTGAGCTTACTCCAGTAGGCGGGAGGCAGAGCATTTTCATTCCTGAGACTAATGCATCGCTTAAAGAATTAAAATGATCAGGCACAAACTCAATGTGGAGGGGGACTCCAGCCCAAACCTGCTTTGCAAAGAAGCATGAGAGAATTAAATGTTCTGCTGATTCTTGCTGACCACATCTTGGACATTTGACAGATGATCCACAGCCTCGCTTCTCTAGGTTTATTCCGAGGGGCAAGGCACCTTGGAATAATTTCCACAAGAAGAGCTTAATTTTTGGGAGGCAGGGTGATGCCCAGACCATCTTTGACCAGGGAAATTCGAGTAACGGCGCTACACCATTGTCGAGAATTACCTTCTCCTTGGATGCTGAGATATAGCCTGATTTGGTAGAATAAAGTCCATCTTTGCTTGGTATCCAGATAAATTTATCAGGAGCGCCCAAACTGCTAGGGATAATACTCGTAATTTCCTTAGCTAGCAGAGGGAAGAGGCTAATTACTTTGGGCAGATTCCACTCATTTGAACCTCTCGTCAGAAGATCTGCGACCCTGATGTCACGATCGATTTCCTTAGGGGGTCCCAACGGAGTTCCTATATCTCCTGCCAAAATCCAGCGATCCTGCCAAACACGAGTTGAATTTCCATCTCCAATAACTTTACCAAGTTGCGTAATTAACAAGTCACGCCCCAATAAAGCACTCCTCCACCCATGAGAGGCTGTAGCTGATGGCATGACTTCCAAAAAACCTTTATTCTGACAGTATTTCCCGATGAGTATGCGTGAAAGCAGACACTCCGGGACAGTGAGAATACGCCACGCTTGCTTGGCTAGGAGAGCGACGTTAAAGAGCTGAATATCTCGTATACCCAACCCACCCATGAGTTTTGGTAAAGTTAATTTCGTCCAGGCTATCCAACAGATCTTTTTCTGGTCAGCAGAGTCCCACCAGAATCTGGTAAACACTGACTGGATCCTCTTACACAAACTTAACGGTAATTGGAAACAAGAGCTCGCATGTGTAGGCACTGCCGATAATACGGATTTAAGCATAACTAGCTTTCCTGCAGGCGAGAGTAAACAAGTAGACCACGAGTTGGCTTTAACTCTGATTCGATCCACTATAGAAGTGAACATGTCCCTTTTCCTCCGACCAAAATGCTCGGGAAGTCCAAGATATTTACCAGTACCGCCTTCTTTGACAATCCCAAGGTAAGATTTGACACGAGCTCGTGTCTCCTGAGGCGTTTTTGTCGCAAAGGTGATGGATGATTTACTGGCATTTATCATCTGGCCCGAAGCTTGTTCATATCTTCGGAGGATGGTCATCAAAGCCGAACAACTATCAGGATCGGTTTGGAGAAAAAACATAGTATCGTCTGCGAAAAGAAGATGATTGACCCTAGGACAGCGTCTCGCTGCTCGAATCCCTGCTAGATGACCACTTCTTTGAGCTTGTAGGCACAGACCCGATAACACTTCGCTGCAAAGTATAAAGATATACGGGGAAAGAGGATCTGCTTGCCTTATCCCTCTTGATGGTAGAACTTTGCCATATGCTGAATCGTTAAGCAGAAAGGAATATGAAACCGAGCTGCAACATTGAACAATGAGCTCCGTCCAAGTTGGCGAGAATCCCATTCGCATCATGACCTTGCGAATAAAAGACCACTCTAGGCGGTCATAAGCCTTGCTCATGTCCGTTTTAACCGCCATAGCACAGTTTAACACCGCTCCAGATTGCTTTAAGAAATGTAAAGCTCATGTGTAATGAGAACATTATCAGTGATAGCTCTACCGGGAACAAAAGCCGATTGATTCTCCGATATCAGATCCTGCAGCACTGGTTTCAGTCTCAATGAGAGGAGTTTCGAGATGATCTTATAAGTAACGTTGCAGGGTGCAATCGGGCGATATTCAGCCACACGCTTAGCTGTTGTTGTTTTCGGTATCAAACGAATGTGAGTTTCATTAATACTCGGGGGTAGCGTTCCTGTTCTGAAAAAGTCAGTGACATCCTTAGCAATAGCACCAGAAACTGTCTCCCAGTTTGCTTGAAAGAAGCAAGCCGAAAAACCGTCCGGTCCGGGGGCCTTATCGGGATGGATAGCAAATAAAGCCCTCTTAATTTCAGAAATCGAAGGAATCTCAAGGAGCTTGGCATTTATCTCGCTCGTGACAGAAGGCTTAATGGGACGAGCTAGCATTGCGTCAACATCAGATTCCCCATCTTCTGACATGGTTGTAGAGAAGATCAGTTGGAAATAGTTAGTAATCTCCTGAGCTATACGGTCCTCCTCGTACAGGATGTTCCCTGTAGAATCTTCTAATACTGAGATTCTGTTTCGGGCGCCTCTGCCTTTAGTGACTGCATGAAAGAAGCCCGAATTTTTATCCCCTGCAATCAGCCACATGAGTCTACTTCTTTGGCGCCAAAACTCTTCTTCTTCCCGATACGCCTTAAGTAACTCGCCATTCAAGCTCGTAATCTCCATGTCGTTTCCCAAAGGGTTTGACATGGTGTCATTTAGCTCCCGCTGAATACTTTCAATGTTGAGCTTGCTATTTTTAGATTGTTCCCTGCTCCACGCAGAAATAGCCTTTCGACAGAAGGACAGTCTCTGAGCAACCGAGGTCTCTGGGTGATCTTGCCATATCTCTGAAATTATCTGCTTAACTTCCAAGTTATCCCGGAGACGTCTATCGAATCTGAAAAGAGTTCCTTTCTTCTGTCTTTTTGAATCAAAAAAGGACATTAAAGGTCGATGATCAGAGCCTTGGAATTCCAAATAGTGGCAACGACCATTA